AAAGGCAAGAACATTCACTGTAAATAACATACTTTAATCTTGGACTTAAGGAATCAATTAAACCTGAAAAAAATTATAATACGAAAGTTAAACCTTTAACGAMTTTTTTTTTCTTTTTACCCAAAAAGAACAGCAGACTAAAACAATAATAGGACTTGTTTACCTACCGTCCACAGAGTTTTATGATGAGAAAAAGAAAAACTTTTAAAAATGTCTTCCAATGTGGAGCTTTCTTAGTTTTCAGTGTATTCCTGAAGACAAGATATACTGATAGATTAATTTAGCACTTTCTCATTTCACGTTATTTTGTGCCAAAGAAACTGAAAGGCCATTGAAGTAGTTTTTAACTTGATTTTGTCCCCATTAAACTTTCATCATTTTCTAAAATTCAAATAACTGAAAGGAAATTCTAAGCTGGCATAAAAAGAAGAGTTTGCACATGTTTTGGAAAAATCTTAAGCTAAGAGTCTTCTTCCACTGTTTGTTCTGGCATCAGTAGCTGCGTTTCCATTGACCCTGAAAATGAGCAAATTAGAATTTCGAAAATAAATTTGCTCAATGGAAACACGTCAATTTCGGAAAAAAAATTACGTTTTTCGACAAAATGTTTTTGTGCTAGGATGAGGTGGTTTTTCGGCCGTATCGAAATCGGTGTTTTTTGCAAAACTGCAATGGAAACACTTTTTTTGCGTCACAGGAGTCACATGATCAACAACCGGCTGTTTCTACTGGCGAAAAATACAACGACGAAAAAGACAACAGGAAGTAAGTAGTAGTAATATCACAGAAGTAGTAAAAGAAAGTAGTAAACTCACCGACTAGTCCCAAAAACTCAGCATACGTAGCCGCTCCCAAGTAGGGACTTGTCTCTGGAAAGCCTCGATAAAAGACGCCAACATCTCCTCTGATGATGAGCGCTAGTGTCGCGGTAGCAACATGCTATGTGTTTACATCCATTGCTGCCATGTTTGTAATGACTTATCGTGAGAACAAACATGTTCATGCATGACTTTAATAGCATTTCTTACTTAATGGAAACACCGCAGTTGCGAAACTGTGTTTTTCCGACATTAACAGAATATCGACAAAGTTTTGCGCACATTTGCAATGGAAATGGAGCTAGTGTGAACATGCTGCCCACCTTGTGGTGTGACTGAAATATTTTAGTGTTTTTGAGTTTTAGAGATGCACTAATATGAAACTTTCAGCTGAAATCGATATTCGATATAATTATTGCTGTTATGGTCAATAACCAGTATTTATCAATATTACAAAAACACACAAATTATTTATATACATACAGTGGTTTGCAAAAGTATTCATACCCCTTGAACTTTTCCATATTTTGTCACATTACAACCACAAACATAAATATATTTCACTGGAATTTAATGTGAAAGACCAACACAAAGTGGTATACAATTGCCTGTTTTGTTACTGCTTACAAAAAACAAGCCCATATGGATGTGACAGATCCTATTTAAATC